TTTAGAACAAAAACCTTCTTGAATTTAAAAATTTAAGTCCAAAAAAATAATATATACCTTTTAATTGAAAAGGAAATTAATTTGTGATATAAAATCATGACTAATCTGTATTGATTAGAAGAACAAAACCTTGGATTTTACTACAATCATTGATATGGCTATCGTGAATTAAAAAAATATGTTAAGAGAAAAAAGACTTTGTTAAGAGAATTAGTGTTAAAAACTAAGTTCAAGCCGATGATAAAAGGTTAACAAAGAGACTCATCAAATCCTGGTTACTAAAAGAAATAAAATAAGATTATGAAACAAGGTTCAGGATTGAAAAACTCAAGTCAGACTTAATTTGAAAAAAAGAAAATGGAAAAGAGGAAGATAATTTCCAATTTATTTTTGCTTATGAGTAATTTTTTAATAATATTAAATTCCATGTCAAAATATTAAACAACTAATGATTGGCAAGAACAATCCCACTTCGGTATATAAAAAAAATCTTATTTAATTAAGAAAAAAGATTTAAAAGTGTCATAGATTGGGAAAAAAAACTCTAAAAATTAGTCGGTGAGGATGAATGGTAAGGGAGTTTGTTGCCTTATCAAACCATGAATTTTCAAAGCTGCAGGTGTCCGAACATGCAAATTCAATGAATTGTCGGGACAAAAATTGGTTCATGATAATGAATGTTGGTCTTTCGTTAAATAAATATAGCATATGTTGCAGCACAAAAGAGATTGCTTTCTATTTTTATCTATTTTTTAAAAATAGCTTCTTTATCATTTGCTCGCATTATTTATAGACATGATAATATATTGCTTCAAAATGAGCATCCAAAAGAAAATCATAGTTTAAAAGGCACTATGATATTTAGTTCCTTTTTTTTTCCTCCTTTATTCTCTTCTTCATTAAGATTGTTTAAAGTTATTCATTTTCTTCGTCACCATCTTTGTCATTTGGAGTACTTGTTTTTTTTTTTCAATCTTTTTTCTTTATTATGGGATAATTACATTATAAGTACATCAACTTTTAATATTTTTTAAATTAAATACATGAATTTTATTTTTTTATTTGAGTACATTAACTTTTCAAAATTGTCAATCAAGTATTTTTATCAATTTCTCTATTAACTAACGATGTGTCTCGTTACCTCAAAGTACCAAATTATAATTTTATCATTTTTCTCAATCAAGTATATAAATTTTAATTTTTCTCATTGGAGTACATCAATTTTTTCAAAATCATCAATCAAATACTTTCATCAATTTCTTCATTAATTGATGATGTGTTTCGAAATTATAATTTCTCCCTTTTTTTGTTGATGAAAGTTTCTCCCTAAATTATTTTACCATTTTAAAATTTGACAAATAATTAAAAAAATTTATTTTTTTATTTATAAAATTTCAAACTTAATTTAGTTAGATCGTTGTTAAATAAAATAAATAAATAAACTCGGTTAGGTTTAAGAGTGAAAATTGAAGAAAAGCACAAATAATTATTCCCGATGAAAATTTCATGTTTGTGTTTCCTTTAACTTTTACACCCATAACCCAACTGATTTTTTTTTTTAACATTAAGTCTTACTAATCTTAGTTCAAAATTTTATAACTAAAAATAAAATTTTTTTAATTCTTCGTCAAATTTTAAAATGATAGAATAGTTTAAGGAGAAAGTTTCTTACAACAAAATAGGAAAAAATATAATTTAATATTTGGATACGTCATCAATTAATGAAAAAATTGACAAAAATACTTAACCGACAATTTTAAAAAAATTGATGTATTCAATCTGAAAAAATTAAAGTTCATGCACTTCTTTGAGAAAAAATGACAAATTTATAATTTGATATTCTAAAGATAACAAACACATATCATCATCGGGTAATGAAAAAATTAACAAATTACTTGATTAGAAGTTTTGAAAAAGTTAATATACTAAAAAAAAATTATTTATTTGATTGAAAAAAATTAAAAATTAGCATATTTATAGTATAATTACCCCTTCATTATGCGATTATTTTTTTTATTAGTTTGTTATGTGTTATTGTTTTCATCTATTTTGACAATGAAGATATATTTCTTTCCCTTACATGAGAGCAATCCCTTATGAAATTTATTGTTCATTTTTCATCCTGATAAAAATGTATTCTTTTCTTGAAAAATATTAATTTTTTTATAGCACTAGACTTAATATTAATATACTTTGACACGACACATGTAATTAAACATCTTGTCCCATCAAATAATAATATAAAATAATGCTAAGTTAAACATTAATGTGTGGTAATTATATTGAATGACATCTACATCATATAGGTTTCCAATCTAATTATTAAAGCATATTTATTTGAGTATAAACAAAAGGAAAAAACAAACAAACAAATGCTTGATTTTTACTATTTTAATGAATATTTTGTCTTTCAAATTTGAGGTGTGATGCAAAATTCTTATAATATTGTTAGTATTGATAGTTAAAATGTTTTAAAATAACCTTATCTTAATATACAAAAAAATTTAGTCTTTTATAAAATTTATTAGTGTCACATGCTTTATAATACATTTTTTGTAATTGAAAAAAAAATTACTTTTAATATCAACAATTTTCATTGTAAAAGAATTATATTAATTTACTATTTCAATCATTTAATATTATTTTCAGTAACTTTTAATTTTAAATAAATAATTACTAGGTATGGACCAATTAACAATAATTAAAAATAAAATTTTGTAGTTTTTTAATCAGTGATATCTATCTATCATTCAGTTATTTTCGCACTCGGTTCACATGTTTTTTATTATAAAAATGATTTAACATATTAGTAAATATCATATCAATTTGTTCAATCTCATACATAAATGAATTATTATAATCACAATAATATAATAGATTTTTTAGTATTAAAAACATGTTAAACGTAAATTCCTTAAACACTTATATACTAATATATACTAATTATTTTTATACATTTTTAATTATTTTTATATGCTTTTAATTAATAAAAATACTGTGTAGTTTAATACATTATTAGCAAAATTCACAATTAATAAATAACTTAAATATTTTATAAATAAATTCAGATTAATATAAAAGTTAGTGTTAACACATTAGTATGCCGTTTTTAAATTTTCACTCGTACATATTGAAAAATCACAATTACTTAAAATGATTTATTTAGATTGATTTTTATTTAAATCCCTAATTTATAATATTTAGTTAACAAAAATAAAAAAATAAAAAAGAATATTTTTATTTTTATTTTTTACACAAAACTTATTACAGTACTCTCACCTGTTCGTATCCAAGATATTTACTAATTAACATATTAAAGTAATAAAAAAATTAATAAATTTCTTATCATTTATTTTTCTATTTAATTCATGAAATATAGAATCATTAGGATTATATGTCTTGTCTTATCTCTTTGGCCTTATCCCTCTATATATATATATATATATATATATATATTCTCGTAAGAAAGTAATGTTTCCCTTATCCTTCTTGTGAAATCAATCCAATGAATTTTCTTTCTCATCCGTTTTAAATCAAATAAAGAATACATGATGGATGTTTTGTGTTGAATTATTACTTAGTGTTATACATTTGGTACTATAGCAAAAATATGCATAACTGTTTTTGCAATTACCTGAATCATGGCCTGTTAGTTTTATATTGGACATTTAGTTAATGTTTGAACTACATCAAATAAATCAGCATATGCTATCTCATCTCAAGAAATTTTATGTTATTTAAAAAGTAACCATTAATACTTACTTTATAAAAAACAATGGATCAAAAAAAGAAAAATAGAAAAAAATATTCTTTTAAAAAATTAAATTTAGGTAAAAATATTCTTATCACTTTTGATGGGTTAACATATAGTTTTCTCTTCTTCTTTTTTTTTTTTATGTATTTCTTTATCTTTAAAATAGATTCATAAAATAAGTATGATAATTACTGATCATTAGTATTTTAAAATTTCTCATATCCTCAATATTAAAAATAGTATTTCTTGAGCATAAATTTATTAACAGCTATAGATTTAGTTGTTCCTCAAGTAATATAATTGCAAATTTTATTATATATTTACTTTAGTTCTCGTTAAAAAAGAGAGTTTGTCTCCTATATATTATGAATAAAGATTTGTTTTTTCAAAACACATAAAGAAATTTTGTTTTTTCATTTAATAGTAATCAACCGAATAATTAGTGTTCACTCAAAAAAAAAAAAAAACAATATATATAAGCATGTTATATCCCGTTCTACTAAAAGTAAAAAGAATATTTTTATACAATTTAAAAATATATAAATTTTAAACTCTCTCTCTCTCTCTTACGTGGTGTAATTATTAACAGTTCTACAAATAAATGTTCTTTTTTTAATATTTGCTAAAGGATTTTAAAATAAAAATCTGAATGGTACTTAAAAGCATTGTTTTTAAAACCATTAATTCTTATTTGGCTCCGTTGCATATAGTTGCTATACAATTAAATAATTTTTAGCATACATTATATTGTAAATATCAATAACGAAGTTAATATCATCCACAAAAGAAAGGTATTTTATTTTAGTTAATCTATTTTTTTAACAAAGTTATATTCTTACTTTTATTATATTTAGTTATGCTATCGTTTCAATATACTTTTTAACGACATTCTTATTTTTTATAACAAGCCAATATATTGTACTTAGTATATATAATGAAAGAAAGTATCTAAATATTTTGCTTGGATAACAAAACTCATAATATTTTTTTTTTATGAGAGTTATTAAAAAAATTGATATGAGATATACATTTAATGATTAATATTTTTTTAATGAGTAAATTTTATAAAATAATAACATTAGAGAGCCTTTTCACACGCCGTGGTTGATTTGAATAGATTATTTTGACAAAATTCAAGCCTATAAATTAAAGTAGCTGTTTGATCATTAAGCACCACTGTAATTGATAAAGCACAACCCCATCAGTCTCTTTTGATTTCCTTCATAGGTTTTGCTAATTAATCAGAATGGATTCTGCAGTTAACGTGTCTAGATGGACACCAAGTCCAAGCCCCACTAGATCCCTTCTGAAAGAGCCTGCGACAAAAACAAACGTTGTAGCAGCTACTCAAACGAAAGAAAGTGTTGAAGACTTGGAGTTGCAAAGCATAGTTTCTGAGGAAGATGGCAAGTCTTCAAGGATGGACACAATGTTCCCATTTAGCACTGGCTCTACAACAGGTCTTGACCCACCTCCTTATCCAGGTACCTATGAAGCATCATCTACAAGGATAGAGATGGAGACAGTTGGGGCACTACTAAAGGAAGGCAAGAACCATGATGATGAAGGTTTGACATCAAATAGAAATGGCAATGGCGTTCTCTTGACGTGGATAGATTTGTGGGTTACAGTGCCTGATGGCAAAAACGGAGGCCGGCCTATCCTGCAAGGGCTAACTGGCTATGCTGAGGCAGGGGACGTTTTGGCTATCTTGGGTCCTTCAGGGAGTGGCAAGTCAACTCTTCTCGATGCATTGGCAGGTAGCTTCCCAACTGCTATTTGGTGTTGACCACTTAAAGAATCATACAATATAATTTGAACATGCCAATTGAGAAGTTGTTTACTTCATTTGCCTTTTCACTATAAAGAAAGACTTTTTGAACGCTATAATTTGGAACTTGTGCAGTTCATTGGTCTTTTCAGTATGACTAATAAAGAATTTTGAGCACATTAACTGGGAAGTCTTCTTTATTTCATTGGCCTTTCCAGCCTGTTCCTTACCTGTAAGCTACATAATAGTAGAAAGCAAGTAAAAAAAAAATTTTTAAATAAAAAGTTAGTATAGGATATAAAAAAAGAGACGAGAGATAAAATATATATATAACCTAAAAAAAAGACTTAAACCTAGACATTGAGTTGAATTTGGTATAAGATCAAGCAGAATATGGCAAAACGGTTCATGTAGGCAACCTCAATTATTATGGGACTAGGGTTTGTTGTTGCTGCTGCTCTTGATAATGAAATTGAAAATTAGGAATACATTAGGGGCTAATTTGAGGTTTCCTCAAAAACCTCATAACTAAATATAAACGACATCTCGGCTGATTAGAGGCAAGCATCAGCAAACGACAAAATTTAAACACCCTCTATTTTCCACGTCTCAGCTGTCTCCACGGCTCCAGCCCTATATAAAATCCGAATTTCCAGCTCCGGAAAAATAGAATTGCCAGTTTCTAACAACAACAAAAAGGAAAAGAGAAAAAAGTAAGAACAGATGGAGGAAGAAGAGCATGAGGTCTACGGTGGAGAGATTCCAGATGTGGAAGGCGATATGGATCCTCATAACGCCGACGTTGACATGTCCTCCGCCGCCGATGACGATGCCGTCAAGGTCCTGAACCTTTTCTCCATTCAATTTCAGTTTTTATTTATTTTTACTTGTATAGTGAAATGGAACCCTAGAATTTTAAATTCGGTCTTCAATTATTTATGATGTCGAAAAATCGGTAACTGATTTTTAGTTTATTGGATGATATTGTAATGTTGAAGGAGTTGGATGAGATGAAGAAGAGATTGAAGGAGATGGAAGAGGAAGCGGCTGCTCTTCGTGAGATGCAAGCTAAAGTTGAGAAGGAAATGGGCGCTGTTCAAGGTTTTTATATATATTATTTTCTGTAATATATTCACTTCTGTAACTGGAAATTTTTATTTTTTTCAAGTTTTAAGAGGAATATGATCTATTGGTACATATACTGTTATGCTGTGTTATGGATTTGGGATTGGATTTGGTTCGATGCTGTTTTCAACCATTTGGAATGTAATTTAAACGTCTGGATATTTTGGAATTGGGTTACTGAGGAATGATGTTTGGCCGGTTAAAGCTGAAATTTATCAGTTTGTTTATTTGTTGATGTTTACGTGAAAGAAGTTAGAGGATATTCTAATATGATTGAAAGGCAGTTTTTGCTACATTGTGATTTTACTAAGAAAGAATAGTAGGTGGGAACTCGGGATTTGAAGATGACGGAATCAGCAAGAGGACTCTGTACTTCTGTAGTTTTTGTGAAGCTTACTTTTGTAAATTCTAGCAGGCATCAGTTTGCTACTCTGAAATTTGGGGTGATGTTTAGTTGTGCTCTACACAGATTGTTTCTAGAAATACACTTCCAAACTTTATTTTGGGAATGGGGAAAGTTCTGTTTATAGAGTAATAAGGAATTTGTCAAGGCCCACGTTCTGTAAAATGTCCTGATGTTCTCTCATATGCACTGGGATTTTTTTTTTTCATTTCTTTGCAACATGGCATTTTTATAAGTAGATATCTTTTTGTTGTTTCACTTATATATGACCAAAGTTTATCATGTGATTTAACGATTTCAGCCACATTGAAGTCTGTAAATCCAATTTTGTGGTTATTTTGTAGCATATAAGTGTTCCATCATTTAATTTTGTTCTTCTTCTAGATTACTGTTTGACTGGTGCTTTTCAAAGTTTCTATTCATATTGGAAGTTTCTTCCTACCTTTAGCTGCTCTCTTAAGTTCTTCTGTTCTTTTCCTTTCTTGAAATTTGAGCTCATATTATATATCTGCATGGCTTTAATGTTCCCACAGATCCAGCTAATGCAGCAGCTAATCAGGCAAACAAGGAGGAAGCAGATTCTCGTTCTGTGTTTGTTGGCAATGTGAGAAATATAATGTCTTGTACTCTTGCCCTTCTGACTTTAGTAGAATGCTTGAATCATTTTATACACACTGTTTATATGTGTATGTGTACCTATAGGAAAGAAAGAAGGTATTATGTGGAGATATAATAATGACATGGCACAATTCCCAATAACTGTCCAACACGTCCCACCAGGTGTTTAATTACTTCCATAAGATATAAATAAACCATGTAGATGAGTACACTTGTAGTTAAATGGTCCTTTTGGAACCACTAGTGCACTAACAGTTTCAGGCTTCAGACTCTGCCAAATTGACATTAATTTTAGTACTTAAAAAATGCTGTTTATATTAATTTCATTGCTTTTGGTTCACTTTTGGATAATTGTATTTTAGAATCATGGTTTGACTTTATGTCTCACTATGATCGCAGGGGTCTTCTTATTCTTCAAGTTCTCTGTATGTATTGCTGGAATAGTAACCTATATTTTGAGGGTGTGCCAGAGTCATTTTTATGTCAAATAGGGTTGTTATATGAGAGATCTAGAATCAATTGTAAATTTGAAAGAAAACAGAGAAAAACAAAATACTATGAAAATGAGAGGAAATTATGTCCAAATTTACTTGGAAAAAAAGAGAAAAAGAAAAGGAATGAAAGAAACATTTGAGGGGAAGATGCTAGCCAAAAAGAACAAACAGAAAAAAAAAATAATAATAAGAGGAAGAAAAAAGATGAGAAATGAAGAAAGAAAGATGGAAAAAAGAAAAATGTAATAGTGAAGTATGAAAATGCAAGAAAAAAAAAGTGTATGAATAAAATTTATTTGAAAGAAAGAAATGAAGTGAAGGAATTGGGCAAAAGGCTTATTGGAGGTCGCTGAAATGGATGCAAATTGGATGTGAATAGCAATTCTTCTACCATGATATTTGAGGAGAAAATTGTTGCTTTCAAGGAGCATAGGCAAGTTGGGATATGCAATCTAAGTTGCAGAGCCTCAACCCTGCTGGTGATGGTCTTTGGTGCTTCCAAAATGTGTGATCATGTGGCAGATGGGGAGAAAGGTGTAGATTACTGCTTTTTGTGGTCAGAATTACTAACTTCTTTTCTTTGGTTTATCTGAAGTGTTGGAAATGTTTGACAAATATGCACTCTTTCCTTTACAAGTGAACTTGCTATGAGTTCTTTGAAGACTGTTAGCTCATCATTCACTTTGCTTTTTTGTCAAGAATACTGTTAGCTCATTTTTTATTTGGTCATTTGATGGTTTGTTTAAGACACATCTTAGATTTGGTGTTTCTTTTGATTGAAGCCTAACTCATTTCATTAGCAATTGCTTGTGCATCCTTTTGCTTAGAGGAAAGAACTCTAAAATCTCAATTTGAAATACACTAATCAGTCCTTGATCACTCTGGAAAATCTAGCTTAGACAAAGTGAGACATCCAATGTGCTAGATATTTTTCCTCGTACACCAACTTTCTTTCAGATTGAAAAAAAAAGGTTTAAATGTATTAATCAATCATTTAGGTGCATTATCAGGATTTTAAACACTAAAAATATTGGATTTGTTATTTCTATACATTCATTTATCTAAAACCTTTACGTTTTCTATTTTTCGAGTATGACTAAAGCTATTTCTTAATTTTCTTGTACACATATCTCAGTCTCCTTCATTGATTGAGTTCAAAATGTCATATATTTAAACCATCTTAGTTTACTTGAAACCATCATTTGCTCTACACACACATAAACACAAATATTTGTTGTCATCTTGGAATGAATGTTTTTCTTAGTCTTGGTTTATGGATATACTTGAACTAACTCTTTGCATTACCTGGTGCATCGAAGTCTTTACTATGTAAGTTGCTTGTACCCCTATAGTCTAGCTTGTTACCCTAACATACAGTCAGGGTTTTCAACTCTTCTGAAATTTCATAGCACTTTTAGTTGGACCCTTTGTTTACTGTTATGCTTCTAGTTGGACAAGAACGTATAGCAATGTAACACTTGAAGGTCATGTGAAAAAACACGGGGAACGAAACTGCGTGTATAAAACTATCGGAGGATCAAATGCATTGATGAAGGTTGAGTGCTAAATAGTTAAGTATTAAGGCTTAATTCTAGTAGAGCTGAGATTATATGTTTGTAGTAAACACCAGAATGTTCGGTTGCTGTTTTTTCCTGATATGTAAAAGAGGCATATGAAATGAAAATTATCTTAGTTGGTGTATTGACTGAAAAAAAGAAAAGAAAAGAAAAAATCAATATTGTTGATGGTGCTAGGGAAAAGCCAAATTAGAAGTCAGCATCTGGGAAGACACTGTATAAAGCTCTTCATTGGAAAAACAGGATGGTTTTATTGTGTCAGTTGAAGGTTGATCTTGTGATAGGGAAATGTGATTTTATGGATGCAGCGATGAGAAGGGAAAGCAAAATTTTTAACTGTGAAGAGGTGGCTCAACTGCTGGAAATTGGCAGGCTTTTTCAGCAAACCTAGACAATTGTTAAGCCAATACTTGGCGATTTGGAAATTTTTGGTATGCTATCATGCACTTGGGAAATTGATAATTTGACCCAAAACGATCTTGTCGAGTGAAAATATAATGACTAGAAAGCATAAGCATGCTGTTTAGGAGGCAATTTGGTATGTGGTGAAATTGATGTGCCATTGATAGGATTGGTAAATTGTAGTTAACAAATACTTTCGAAGCAAAGGAAAAAGAAAAAGAAAAAGAGAGACTACTTGTTTTATTGAATGCAGATTTTGTATTTCCGTCTAGGATCTTTTTTTTTTTTTTGGCGTACAATTTTCCCTGCTCTGTCATGGCTTGATTGATTATGGAATGCATTGTTCCTTACTATATAGAATTGTTGGAATTGAAATAACCTTTTTTCTGGAAAATTCTTGAGCTGTAGTTATTGTTTCTAGCTGACTCAATTCAACAACAAAACCTTGTTCTGAACTTATTGTTGCAGGTTGATTATGCATGCACGCCTGAAGAAGTGCAGCAGCATTTTCAGTCCTGTGGTACGGTAAACAGGGTTACTATTTTGACAGATAAGTTTGGCCAGCCAAAGGGTTTTGCTTATGTGGAATTCCTTGAAGTAGAAGCTGTTCAAGAGGCTCTGGCTCTCAATGAATCTGAACTACATGGCCGCCAATTGAAGGTAAGCCATTATTCTTCTTTCAAAAAAACAAAAGCTTGGTTTCTTGATATGGAGCTGGGCATGTATTTGCTAACTACACGCTATGATTGGTGATTGAACTTGTGATTGCTGCTGTTGAGATCATTTTGTTTCTATTTGGTAGATTTTGTTGTTTGATAATTAATCTGTCTTTCAGGTTTCACCCAAAAGGACCAATGTTCCCGGAATGAAGCAATATCGTCCTAGACGTTTCAATCCTTATATGGGTTACCAGTTCAGGAGGCCATATGTGCCCCCTTATTTCTACTCTCCTTATGGATACGGGTATGTTTCTTCATACTTTCATTCCTCTGTTTATTGCGATGATAGCTTTTTGTTTGTTACTTTTTTCTTAATTTTTACCTCATAAATGGCGGCAGGAAGGTGCCTAGATTCCGAAGGTCAATGCGATACATGCCTTATTACTGAGATGGGTTTCTGTCCGATAAAGGAGTTTATTTTCTGGTGGATGTTTAGCTAAAGACTTATTGGTTTCATGTTTGTTACTACTTTGTATCTGTGCGACAAAAGATACATGGTTCTGCACAAGCCTGCAAGTCTGTGCAGTTTACGCCAGCCAATTGATGCACTATGCTACCCTTTGACTTGCATGGTGTACGTACAGAGTTTTTTTTTCCTGCTAAACTTGGTTATTGCTGCCTTTTATTATTATTATTATTTTCGGTGCACACTCAAAAGGACATTTACCTAGTTGGGTGGTGGAGTTGAATCGATGATGATCTAGAGTCATGCATGCTTCACAATGAGATGACTATATATTGTTTTTATTCTTGCAATAGTATGTTTTAACTTAAACTTTAATTATTAGTATTAATTGAGCTCTGCTTTAACAATGATACAATCAAGTGTCTGGGTAGATGTTTATTAGGAATGTCTGTTAAGAATTTATTGACGTGTCTGAAAGATGATAATATGGACACCGTAACCTTATTTGGGGAAAAAAAAAAAAATAGGACTGATGTAACTCACGTGACTGATTAAACCAAATTTCACGCTTACTATATGCATAAAGCAGAAACTTTTAGTAAAGCAAAATCCATATTTTATATTGACGCATGCATTTATAACATTGAATATATTTTTCTCATAAGATTTTGAGTAAATTATGAATTAGTCCTAGTTTTGAGAAACAAATTAATTAGTTTTTCTTGCTTCAAAAATTAATTATTTAGTTTCCTGACTGGTGCTTATTATACTCAATTTAATATTATTTATTTAAAAAACTGATTTTTTCATCAATTTTTTTTATAATACTGATTTTTTTTCTTGTTTTGATTTTTTTAAAAGAAAAATTTTTTAAAAAAAACATAAAATGGACAAAAAAATTTAAATATTAATTTATTTTTCAAAACTAGAGGAACTAATTTATAATTTACTCAGATTTTGGTACTTATCCTTTTTTGGAATGAAAAATTACTAGAATGTCTACTACCAATTGCATTTCTTCGCTCAAAATGACTTCTTTTTAAAAAAAATTTACATGTACCTAAATAAAATTGCAATTTGAATGTCTAATTGTTTATTTTTATTTTATTTGAATGCCTAATTTTTTATTATATTTATTTAAGTGTCAACAGTTGATTTTTTTTTATAATTGAGTTCTCTCGATCACCTAAAATTAAAACATACTGACATGGTAAAATTAATTTATACGCGATAATTTAATTGACATGTGACAAAAAAATAGATTTCGCACATATTTATTGAGAAAAAAATAATAAGAGTTTTATAAAAAAAAATTAGTTGCACGAATTTAAAAAAAAAATCAAAAGATTACACAAAATTATTGTTGTTGTCAAATTTGGATCTTTTCAAATTATTTACCCAATTAGATAAGAAGAGCTGAGCTCTTCTTAGCTTCTTTAGATCTTCCCTCTTGTTGCTGAGAACGTGAAGTGCAATATTGAGGAAAAAATCACGATGTGGTAGGCATTCGATCTCTGAACTCATAAGTCATAGCGATCAAAGATCGAGTTGCTTGAATAAAGAATTGAAACTCTTTTATTTTGATAACAAGGAAAATTAAGGATTAAAATCATGCTATAATAGTTTCATGGTATAAAAATAAATGAACTATTAAACTCATCATAATTAAACAAATTAAAAAAGACTTAGATATTATCTAAAATCACGAACATATAAAATGCTAAAATAATAATTTTTTATTTTTTAAATAATTGCCTAGAAGTATAATCAAATTATTTGTGAGATTGGTAAAAGATTTTGATACGATGAATCATATATTACACGTTGTCTCAAGCAATATAGTAAGTTAAGTCATTTTGTTGTATTTTATAAATTTATGCTACTTATAAGGCTTAAAACTCAACAAAATTTATTACAAATGAAAGAATTAATTTTTTTTTTTCTGATTAATGTGTATCAAACTTCTTACTTTCTACAAATGAAAAAAAAAAAACCATATATATAGGTAATGAAAAATAATTGTTTCTAACCATTTTTAATCATTATGAAAAATAATTTTCTAAATCATTTTTATTATTATAAAAATAGTTGTTTTTTTTTATCTTTTTTTACTATTATAAAAAATAAATAATTAAAAAATTATTTTTAATAATATAAATTAAAAATTTTATATATTTTATATAAATAGTCAACATGAATTGGTTAAAGTTTCGAGACGACAAGGAAGGAAGTCGTAAAAGAAGTGAGAGATAAGTTCGAATTTCTTGAATGCATCTTTCTTGTTCTTCTTGTTAAAATGATTGGAGGAGGAAGGAGAATTGAAAGTCTGTGAAAAATATGGTTAGGTGTTGATGTTGATGTTGATGAGAGAAAAAGGACATACACATGTGAAGTGTACCAAATCAGAGAGAAACGTTGTTGTGATTATATATCTTTATATATACATGTGAAAAAGAGACGAAGAAAAGAGGGAGCTTCGTACCGTTTTGATTTTTCTTTTTCAGTTCATGTCAGATATATATATATATATTTTTCTATGACGGTTTATAATTTTTTTTATCAATAAATCCAAGTGAAATCAACATCACATGTCATTAAAGATTATCATCACGCACCAGTCACGTCAATATTTTCTAAAACGCTGAGCACTCAAATAAATAGAATAAAAAACTATATACTCAAACGAAATAAAAATAAAAGATTAATCACTCAAATTGCTGTTTTCGCTTTCCCTTAATTAGCATTAATAAGCTTGTGGACGGTGCAGTTGAACCACTGATACAGGTAGAGGCATGCATCTTTCAGACCGGAAAAGGACTATAATGTCGTATCCTTTTCAGGGAAAGCAATAGGAAAGAAATCAGCCACGTTACTTCTACACGTGCTGAAGGAAGCAAGAATGGTAGTAAATTTAGTTGGTGGCTGGCTGGCTGGTTTGGTGACACGCTTAACTCCTCTAGAACTGTAAGTCAAGGAAGAAGACATCTGCATTCTATCTATCGTTCACATTGAAGAATCTCTCTCAAATAATTCAATGTCCTCTGCAGATTGCTCCCTCAACTACGGGGATTTGTTTGCTTAGCTTTATTACACGATGAAATACAAGAGGCCCATGTGATGATCTTCAACCAGTAAAAACTTAAGATTTGGGGAGGATCAGGGGATGTTTAGATTCCTATTAGGCATGATTATGCATAAATATTGTAGAATTAAGTATGTGCACAGGCTGGCTCTATACCATGCTCCTACCTAAGTGAATCAAATCTAGTTAACCTTCATAGTTTGAAAGCCAATTGATCTCATCATGGAATCAGGACAGAACCTAACGTTTGATAACCGCATGTTTTTAAATGTGTTTTCCATGTCTTCAAAGTTGTTGGGAGTCGGGACAAAGGCAAAACACATCCTTAAAGTCCAGTCTTTAAGAAAAATGAAATTCATACGAGGAGAAGTCCATATCTTGTTTGGTAGCACAGACAAAATGAAGGGATTTTATTATATGCTAATGGCCCAAATAATCTAATATTCACCTCCGAGTGAAGTAATGAGAAGAAGCATTCACGTCATGGTTAATGATTTTATTTATTTATGGCAGAATGATTTATATATATATTTTTTTTTCCTAGAAAAACCAAGGAATGAGACAAAGCAGGAGCATATTTTGAAGCCAGAAGCACCGGCCACCACCTATTTCACGTTGGACTTTGATTAAACGTGCATAAATATTAAAAAAATCAACCAAGTTATCTGCGACACCTTGCTATTGCAATTTGCAGCTTCAACTCTCAGCCACATACGCAAAATCCCTTCACAGACAAGATCGGCTTGAGAAAATGATAGAGAGATTGCTTTGCAGAAGTGACTTATCGAGTTGCTGCTTTCATTGTTTAAAACCACTGTTCCAATGCAGCAGCAATAAGAGGTGGTTACAAAGCAAGGTTTCATGGAAGATCCATAGCAAATTTATTGACCACAAAATACATTTACTGACGACAAAAAGTAATGCACAATTTCGGAGGTGCCTACAGGCCCATGGAAAGCAAACGTTGATTTCCTATCCTTCTTTTTCTAAGTCGCTCGGCAATGATAAAGGCAAGCTCAAGCGATTGAGAAGCATTGAGTCTTGGGTCACAATGTGTGTGATAGCGGGAGCTCAAGTCATCAAAAGTTACTGTCCGAGACCCGCCAATGCATTCAGTCACATTCTGGCCAGTCATCTCTAGATGAATTCCTCCAGGATGGCTTCCTTCTTGCTCATGGACATCAAAGAATGCTCGCACCTCAGCCTACAAACAAAGACAAAATTATCACCAAGAGCTGGAGAAGGGGGATGACGAAGCAAATGAAGATGATTCTGAACATTGTACATTCAGATAATGTTTTTCTTGAGGCGCTTTCGAGGGAAGAGGGCCGGCAACAAAATGGCTACAATAACCAGGATCATAAAAGGGCCCCTATTGACATAAAATTCTGAAGACAGTGGATCATAGTTTAACTCTTCTTTGCAGCCAAATTCTTTGGCATGTGGCTGAATATTAACTAAGATTGCTTATATACCAACAGCAAGTGGTTGGTGAGTCAATAATTAAGCAGTTGTTACCCATCAGCAGCTTATTTCATACATTGATTGGCCTCTTAAGAACCAAAAAACCAGTTGTTATCCAGCTACAAATTATTTCACACACTTTTTAGCCATGGCTTTAACTGAACTGCCTAACAACAGCCATCAATTGCTCAATACCAGGAGTATAATAATATTTCAAGTGTTGTGAATGTGAATCTATAGAGCATGAGAATGTTGAATTATGTAGTTTTAATTTTGTCAATTCTTTTCACACATACTATCTCATGATAAAGAATATGCCTCCACTTGCAATACGAATTGCAAGCAAATTCTATAAGTGACTGAATACTTGATGATATAATCGTAAGGAAGGAAAATAAGTCATACCAAAATAGCATCAAAGGGGCGTGTTTTTAGTCCACAAGGTGCCTTGATGGTGTTTCCATGCATTGGATCACAGACCCATGTCACGATTTGTCCAGCCCTACGGACAGCTCTGATCAAGTGGGGAAGCTTCACTCTCATATTTTCAGCACCCATTCTTACGATGATTGTGATCCTTCCTGGCTTGTTGTTAGAATTCAAGATTTCAATGAGTTTAACTAGCTCATTTGGATCCATTTTGTTGCTCACCTGCAACACAACTTGCACTTTCAGCCTCTAATTTTAATATGCAAATACTGATGGATAACAATGTTGCATCAGCACTAGCATCACCAAGAGAAACATTACATGTTCTCCGCAAAAAAGTTGTGCAAAAACAATTCAGTATGAAAACAAAAATTAGTCAGCATATTTTGCAATGAACTGAACAAAAATCATGATTACCAAGTACAGCCATGGACCTATAAGTTAGACAGTAACAGCAACTACTGATCGTAAAGTTAGTGATAGTGTTCATGATGAAATTTGCATTCGAATTACCTTAATGCCAATAGGGTTGGAAATTCCTCTAAGGAATTCCACGTGGGCACCATCCAGCTGGCGAGTACGCTCTCCACACCAAAGCATGTGAGCAGAGCAATCATAATAGAGGCCAGAAGTTGAATCAAGCCTTGTAAGAGACTGCTCATAGGGGAGAAGCAAACACTCATGGGATGTCCAAAATTCAGTAGTTGTCATGATTGGGTGTTCCACAGTGAGTCCTGCTGCAGCCATGAATCCCAAGGCCTCATCAACCCGGTGAGCTAGTTCTTGGTACCTGAGGAACGATCCAGTGTAAGCCATATTAAAAATGTGAAATGGCTCATAAAAACTTCAACTTTAATCTCCAAAAGACCACTTCCACAAATGAATTCATAAATTTATTGAAATGTGTATTGAAAAGAAAAGGGAAGTTCTCCAATAGGATTCTGTTCCATCTTTCATGAAACTCGTAAATTCAAGAAATTACCAATGGATGAGTCCAAGGAAAGTTTAGTTTTGCATACCTATCTCCCTGCTCACTGTGCTGTGCGAAGTCGAGATTCCACTGTGTAACTCTCTGCATTGCAGCATATCCTCCAGTTGCAAATGCCCTGAGAAGGTTGAGAGTTGCGGCAGACTGGCAATAAGCTCTTATCAATCTCTGTGGGTCTGGAATTCTTGATTTCTCATCAAAAGCATCTCCATTGATATTGTCCCCTTTGTAACTTGGCAGCTTGACTCCATCCTTCTCCTCAAATGGATCTGATCTTGGCTTTGCAAATTGACCTGCCATTCTTCCCACCTAAAAAAACCAACCCCACAATTCTCAATCTTCCCGATCCACTAGCTTCTACATTAAGTTCATAAAAATATGAAGTAACCAAGCATGGCCTCTAACTTCAAAAATTATCAAATTCAGATTCTGTATTTGACCTTAAAGTCTCCAATCTAAATCCTCCCTCATAACAGTCTATACCCTTGATGCAAAATCATAAGAAAACAAAAGGCCCCCAATATAATATCGCAAAAACTCGTCATCCTAAATTCATTCAATTTTTTTCTTAAAACAATATTAACTAAAAGAAACACATAAATTAGAGCCATGATCAACCATTAGTCCTATTTAAGCAATAAACACAATTAAATAAATCACAAGAGATTAAAAAGTTCAAAATTTTAGATATGGATCTAACCTTTATGATAGGCATTTGACCTCCAAACATGAGTACAACACTCATCTGAAGCATAATCCTAAAAGTATCTCTTATAGTATTAGCACTAAACTCCTTGAAACTCTCAGCACAATCACCACCTTGCAACAAAAAAGCATTCCCCATTGCAGCCTCAGCAAGCCTCTCCTCTAGACTCCTAGCTTCTCCGGCAAAAACTATTGGCGGAAACGCCTCAATAGTCTTCAAAACTGACTCAAGCTCATTAGCATCAGGGTATTCAGGTAGCTGCAATGCTTTCTTTGTTTTCCAACTCTCCAAGGACCATTTTCCAGTCCCTGGGACAGCAACTGGGGCCGCAGATTCCTTCACCGCCACTGAATTCTTGGTGGGCTCGGCAGCGACGGCAGAGATTGAAAGGTGGGATTTTGATTTGTGGGTTTTGCTTCCAGGGACAACAGAGAAAGTGGGTGATTGTGGTTGTTGGTTTTGTTGAAAGAGGTTGTTGGCATTGCTGTAGAGAGATTTGGAAGACAGGGTTGAAAGGGCCATTTTTTTTTCTACTTAAAGTTTAATTCTCTCTCTCTCTCTCTCTCTCTCTCTAGTTATTTCTTGAAACGGTTCTTTTTAGAGAGAGAATGAGAGAGAATGGAGTGTTTGGAAGAGCAGAGGAGGATCTCAAGGGGGTTTTATAGGAGTTTTGTGGGTCGGACAGAAAGAGGTTTGGTAAGCTTTAAAACACTCAGAAAAAAGAAGTCAGAAGGTGGTTGGGAAACGAGGGAAGGGTAATTTGGGAAAAGAATGGGGAAGGACATGTGTTTACCCACGTGGGGTAAGGGTGTTTTGGCCATTAAGTGTTAAATAGAGGAGTTTTAGGTAAGTGAGTTTGATCCCGCGTCTTTGAGGGTTCGAATCCTAAACAGGATCATAAAAATATTATCTGATAAATGCATCATTTGAGATTAATTTAAAATCCAATTTAGTCTTGATGCGCTTAATGTGGATTAAAGATCCACTTGCCCTTAAAACCAAAAAAGGGAATTTTATGCCTATGAATTTTATTTTTTTATTTAAAAGAACATCTCATTAAAAGCTTAAAATGATAGGTGATGTTTTAGAATATAATTCATATTAATCTTTAACATTTCTCTAAAATAAATTTAATCTTTTTCAAAAAATATATTTTAAAATTAAGATTAATTTTATTAAGAGCAGAGATGATCAGCTTTAATTTTTTTTAATAAATATGATTCTACTATTTAAGCTTTATATATCGATTAAAAAATTTATCTAAGAGCTAATTTATTTATTATTGTGGCAATAACTTGTTGATTCATGTATATGGATTTTAGGTACGTAAACATTGCTCCTTTTTTTTTTTTTTGGTTATTGGTCAAAGGATCATAAAATAAAATACGCCCTTACCTAACCCAATGTCGACGGCTCCACTTATAATTCGCTAGTCATCACCTACCATGTCACGCGTTACAAATCTAGCAATGTTATTGACTACATCAGATATTAGGTGAGGCCACTTCCAATTTCACCAATCCATTTGGCAACTCCGTAGGTCCAAAATCCTAATCGGATTAATTTTAGTGAAGTCCTGCAGAATTTGGGACGGATTTGGTATTTAAAATTAACGTTCTTTATGGTTCGAAACAAGTTTGATATTTGCCTTCGGTTCCCTTTTATTTTGGATGGATGGGTTCTCCGTGTCTTATTAAACCCGTTGTGTGTTTTCGGTGGCAGATAATGCTGATGCTTATTAGTAATTAAAAAATTACTATTTTATTTATATTATTTTTCATATGCAATGATTTGTTTTGAACTAGTTTTTTTTTAAAGTATTTTCTAGATAAATTGTTTTCGGAGTTTATACAATTCAATAGGTGGGGTGCTGATTTGGCAAGTTTAGTAAGAGACTGCTTTAGAAAATTACTCCGTCTATCCTAAAAAGATTATCATTTTTTATCTTTTTTACATTAATTACAACGATTATTAATTATTATATCATATCAATATGTTTTTAATTATTGTTGAATTCATTCAGCTAATAGTAAATGAATTTGGTTTTGTTTTTTTTTTTTAATTCTTAAAACTATTTTCTTTTATAAAAATTTTATAAATTTTGTTTATCAAATAAATTCTAGTAGAACTCGTTTTTTCTCATATGTCAATTAAAGATTAGTATGTGGCCATGTACCCTAGTCACATCAACATTTTCCATTCTCAAATAACTCAAGGAACTCAAATAAAATAAAAAATAAAAAGCTAAATATTAGATGCTCAAATAGATAAAATAAAAGAATGAACACTCAAAAAGAAATAAAAATTAAGCACTCAAATTCTAATTTTCCCTTTTTTTCAAACGGGATCCACTTGTTAATTGAAAATTACTACATGACAGCTCATCAAATTGAAAATAAAATAAAATTTGAGTACTTAAATAAAAAAATTTAATGGTTGGACACTCAAATTATAGTTTTTTCTAATACTATCAATGGTTTATATTCATCGTAAAAAATATATACATATATTTGTCGATAGAAAAGAACTTAAATATTAGTATTTAAAAGTTGATCTAAAAATATACTTATTCTTACAAAAAGAAAATGTTAAAACGTTTTTGGGACGTGAACTTTAATATGAAATAGCCTTACCTTACAAATTTTATAATATTCAAATAGTGACTATTATACATGCTATTAGTTACTCGTTTGAGTATTATAAAATTTCTCTAACTATGCAATTGTTAATGAATAATGTTAAATATTAATAAATCATGACAAGAAAAAACTCCAAAAATAACTCCTTTTGAGAGTTTTTAGATGCCATGTATTCACATCTTGTTCCATTTCACTTTGAAATAATAGAGTTTCTTTTTGAAAAAAAGAAACAACACAACTTTGAAGAGAACAAGGATACGAGTTATTGGCGGATTTCACCAATCTAATGGCTTCATCTGTTTTTATTATATTTTCACGTGAAATAAGATTATTAAAAAAGGAAAAAAAGAAAAGAAAAGAAAAGGTCAGTGAAGAAGTATATTCTTTCAAGATGCTTGAATAAACTGTTAACCACATAAAGCATTTTGCGGTCCTCTATTCTCTAGTCTTATGGTATATTCCTTTTACAGGATTTTAGAAAAAAAAATTCACGAAATGACGAACGATCAAGATTTTCTCGAAATGGACTAAGTGAATAAAATTTGAAACTTTTTAATCTGAACAATTGAATTCAAACTTTGAGATGGGTGAATGGAAGTTCAAGTATGGTGTTTTTCAGGCTCCAACATGCTTTTATTAATAAAAAAGAAACCAATATTTTTTTTTTTTTGGTTATTTGGAGATTGGAAATGTTTTGGTTATGTATATTGCTTTCAAGCCTCAAGTTATGCCACATTAAATCAGCCAAGGTTTTATGATCTACAATCTGATATTTCTTTTAAGAGATTATACATGTAAAATAATATATGATGCTAACCTTTATTTCTAACTTTAAAAGGATTTGTTCAGTCTAATGTTTTAAATTTAATTTTTATACTGGTAAAATAGTAAATATATGACTAATTATTTTATTCGTAAAGATATCTTAACTTACGATTTTGATATACTATACAGTAAAGTTTGTATAAATATGCATGTATAAAAGAAAGTGGAATGTTTTGTATAATTAGACTATATGTTTGTACATGTAATTTTTATTATAATTCTTTTCTTACTCTATAAAAATATAGATTTTGTTTATATCGGGATTCTATATAATTCAAATTTTTTTTATTAAGACAATAAGTTTTTTTTTGTTCAATTTAAGAGTCTTACTCTCATGTTGTTATTATTTCGGATCATAATGTGATACTTAAGCACACGTGGTAAGCTCTAGCCAATGACACATTGCCATGTGTTATGACGAGTCTAAATTGGATGATTGAATTAGTGATGTGGCAAACCGTCATTAGTTAGAACTTTATATATGTACTTACATGATAAATTGTCATTAGCTAGAGTTTGACACAATAACAATATAAGAGTAGAATTCTTAAATTAGACGAAAAAAAATTTAACATCTCAATAAAAAAATCCGAATCGTATAAAATCTCAATATGCCTGAAAGCCAATAAATAAATAAATAAACATTTTTGGTGTTAGATTTGCACTTTTTGGGATTTTTTTTCCTTATTTTCATTTTACTGATATTATGTCAATCTATCACAGAGTTGAAAGGGATGAAGCATGCACAGATTCCCTTTTATTTGCAATGCATGATTTTAAGACAACTTGTCTTATTTAACCATTCCAGCCTTCCAGCTCCAGGCATAAAATTTGCATTTCACCACGGTCAACCAGCGCATGCCCCTCAAGTCTTTCACTAATAGCTTTGGTTAAGTCAATATAACATGACCCAGATTAAGAACATAAGAAAAATGAGGAGTATTTTCTCAGTAATCCATGATCCAATTATTGTAAAAAATTGACCCACATTCAAGGTGATTAAAGTATCCCAATTTGTGTGGATGCCCAGTACTCGAAAAATAAGAAAAAGATAAAACAAATCATATAATTAATATGAAATGGTAGCTCTGTCGTATGGTGCCAAAATCCTCCACGTCCCTATGTTTTATTTTATTTTTCACCCATCAATTCCTCCAGATCTCAATTATTTATTTATTTCTTTTTTGTTTTTTTAAACATCTCGATTCTATATATATATATATTTTTTTCCCACTGCAAATCACAAAACCCTTGGAGGGTATGCCATGCATGTCTGAGGTTGTTGGTTGTAGGGATTAGCCCACATGACCTGAAAGCAGTAGTATCTTTCATAATGTTTTGGAATTGAATGCATGTTTTGGGGTCGGAATCAAGTCCCTCCAGTCATGTCACTTTCTAGTCCTTTTTCCGAACCAAATTTTGCCACCGGAATGGTTTGGAGAATCCCATCTGCTTTACCATTATTAAATTAATAATTGATTTCGATCTGAAAATGAAGAGATCCATCAAATCATTTCTCTTAATCAAAAGAATTATGATGATATCTCAACGTTTTACGAAGAAATAATTGATTCTGAGTTGATATGCAGCATGTGACACATCTCAAAAAATACAAACCATCTCTATGATTCATCTTGGATTGATTTTGACTAGGTAACAACTTTGTTTGGGAGATGCTTTCTTGACTGTACATTATTGATCAATAAAGATAATGCGTACGAAACAGAACCGGCAAAGCTATTGAATTTTTTTTTTTTATAATTACCGGAAAAATCCTCTAAAATAATTTTGTATTTCAGGAACCCATCAATTTATTTTTAATCTCTCAAATTCAAAATAATATTTTTCTTATCAAAACATCTAACGAGTTAACCTTCAACTTAACACTAATTAACTATTGGGTCTTTTGGTAAGATAATTTTTTTTTTAAGGTTTGAGAGATTTAAAAAATAAATTGATAAATTTTTTGGATAAAAAAATTTTTAAAGTTTTTTTTTTACATAGTTTTTATCTAATAATAAACTCATTTCATAGTTTTTTATGAGTTTGATATTTATT